GGAGCTTTATGTGCAAGCAAGTTTTTGAATCGGTCAGAAATGGAGACTGTTTGGAGTGTTCTCTTTTAACCTCTAAGTTCCACCCAGAATGCCATGTTTAATCACCAAATAATACAAAGAGAAAAACAGGCTTGTTACCAGTGATGCACAGAGTCATCCACCTTGAAAAGCCAGCAGCAGGCTGCTTATGGCAAAAACAATGGCTGCCAATTTTGATCTCCTTAGAGTCGCGGTATCAATCGTAGCCCAGAATTAGGCTGGTACCCAACCAAAGGACGCTCAAACGCAGCAGATAAAGTTTATCTGATAAAGCTAATCTGTATTGACGGCTTGGGTCTACTGTGTATGCCAAGGCCCAGCATGTCTTTGAGCCAAGAGCAATGTTTTCCAGTCTGATCAGCTGAAAAGCGAAATGTGTAGGAATCTGGAAGAAATAACAAGGCGTACTCCAGCAGCCGGAAGACTGATGAGACAGGCAAAATTCAACCTCGCAGCATAGTGAGGGGGAAGCAAAGGATATGGTATCTCTCTCTCTCATCTCAGTGGCACAGACAAGGCAAGGTCAGTGTTAAGGTCAGTGGTTGCAGAATAGGAAGTGGTTGGCAACTGAGAGAATATATGGTGGCAGCCAGTTAGAGAAGAAAGAATGCGAAAAGGAAACAGGAGTGAAAAGGCTGGTTAAATAAACGGAGAGTGAGCCAGAAGGACAGAGAGCAACACTTAGCCAGAGAGGCTTGGTTACCATTCTCAGGCTCTGTGAGGTTTCTAAAAATGTTTTAGGCACACATAAACAAAGTACAAGTGGATAAACATGGGTGAAGGCCATCAGTCCAGTCATCCACAGGCTTCCCGTGTTGTCCGTTAGCAAAGGAAAATGCCGTTAAAAGTATCTCATACAGATTTAGAAATATTAACTTTGATTTAAAACAGGTTCCAGCTGAGTAAAGCATAAGTTAACAGCTTCACAATGGGTTTCTGAGAAATCAGGGATGGTCCATCTCTTCTCCAAAAGGCCAACACACACACCTCTCTTCCTACTGCTGACTGTACAGGTAATAGGATTGCTCCTTGTGGTGCTTTTATGCCATTTGTCATCATCTGTAAGACACAGCTCTCTCTCTACAAACAGCAGCCAGAACATTCCAGGGAGCAGCAGGGGCATGAGCTTATCTCCCAGCCCAGTGGAGCAGGTAAATGACGTCGTCATCATCCTCTTGTGTTGGAATCTGATCGGCCTAAAAAGAGACCCAGTTGCAAAAGGGTGGGCCATTAGGGTCAGAAAAATGCAAATTGTCTTTCGTGGAGCTCACTTTTAATGGAGGTGATTCTGGGGGGGAAAACGCACTGGAGGATCTTCTGTTCACACACAGTTAGAACAGTTTTTGTAACCTCCAAGGGAATAATCTGTGGACTTTTGAGGTTCTGCAGGTGCTAAGCTGGTATTTTTTGAGAATTTGCCAGCCAAATTAGCATTAGGGCAGCCTTATATGCATAAAGACTTCAAAGTAAATATTATAGGTTCTTTTTTTTTTAATATGCAATGTCTCTGAATATCGCTGTGGCCCATCTACCTGGAATGCTAGAGCGTAGCCTCTGGCACAGCTTAATTAACTCATCTGTGTGGTTACAGAAGGCATAATGGGGGAGAGAAATCACTCATCACCAGAACATCCTTCCTACTGATCTGACTTCTAACACTTTCTCTGTGTGCTAACAAAGAGACACAAGCCCGGTAATCCTCACAAATCGTGATCAGTTGACAGGGTTTACACACAAACCACCTTTGAAGAGACATACAAATCAATGTGGAGAACAGAAATTTTACTCATTAAATCAATCAGTGGACCACTGGTTAATCCTAGCCAGCTGAAATGGACCTTCAGAAGATGCCAAATTATTCCCGGCAAGATGAAAGAGGTAGTTTAGAGTTTGGTGGGTGGCTAATTCCTGAAATAGGACTGTCAATTATGCATGTTTCAGTCTGGCCCTCTCCCTGCTGCCTGAGAGGTACTTAAGCCGAGCAAAGAAGAAGAAGCACAGAGGAGAGGACACTAGAGGGAGACAATTTGTTCACATCTGCAGCCTTCTCCACAGCTTTCCTCGGGATTCTGAATTCCACTGTAATAGGCCCTCTGGAGAAAAGCACCCAATCCACAGTGATCAATATGAAATCATTCACCACATCCAAAGGATAATATTAAACACATTTAGGATGTGTCTGGATAGTTTCCCTAAGAAATTTCTGTTAGACAGAAAGTGCTTTGATTTTTCTTTTGATTTTTAGTCGCAAAACATGCAGGCTAAATAACATGTGGTGAACCTCACATGTAAAAAAAAAAATTGCCCCACAGACTTACAGTTTCAATTTCAATACATCCGTATTAGATGTCGTTCTTGGTGTTTGTGGCAACAAAAAAAAAGCCTCTTTGAAATCTGAAAGAATTTTTTTTTACATAGATATCTTGGTGGAGAAAGGGGTTACACATGATGGAAGAACAATTTCTCCAAGGTCAAATGAAGCTTCTGAGGGTGTAAAGTGATTACTGCAACAGGAAACAGGATGCCTCTTCTCAAAACAGCATCTCATGACACTGTCAGTGAGTCTGTTGCTTCTCTCACTTTCTTTTCCCCCCCTCAGCTCTTTCACACACTATCAAGTTTACTTCTTTCTCAATCCCCAAATCCTCCACTCTTTATGCAGAGGCTCGGTTAGTTACAAGCTTCTTCTTTCTTTTTTTTCCTCCCTTCGCATGCTGAATTTGCTCTCTATTGAGAAGCTGTTCATCTTTCAGAACTGAACAGTTACACCAATGCAAATGCAGGATTGAAGAAATCTTGAATTGCCCTTGAAGCTCCAGCAAATGACGATGAGCTCAAAGCATGCAGGATGCAAATATATCTTAAAAGACTTTGTCCCTGCGTTAATCAAAGCGTCTTCAACTGCTTCAACCTTCTTCTTTTTTTCCCGTTTTCCTTTCTATTTGTCATAACGTGAGCGCCCAAGTAATGGAACCACTGCTCGGCATCATTTTCAAGGAAATTTGTTCACACGTAGGCCACTTTGTTGCAGGATATAACCCCTCTCTTTCTTCCTCACCCACGACTAAACACTCAGCTGCTCCAAAAGCACTGCTGTCAAGTTGCTTAAAGAGCTACAAACATTTTAGGCGCTTTCATCAGGCGGTGCTGGCTGCTTCGATTAAAGGAGAACACTGCTCAATTTAAAACAATCTATATGTGCTTTTCCTTCACTGAGTGTTAAAAAAAAGATCTGGACACAGAAACCCCCTGTGAGCGTTACCCCACAGAGATCCAAAGGATTTCGGCTCGTCTGCTTACAGGTTGCTTTGGCGCCAAATCTGGTCGGCAATGGATCGATGAGACGTTGCGAAACAGCACACCCGCCGTACCCTTTTCTGTCACATTTAACTCGCCTCTCTTCATGCCGTAACAACCGCGGATGGAAAGGCAATAATGCTGTTGTTCACAAAACAGAATAATTCACAACTGCACCGTGAAGCCCGGGCCTCCAGTGTTTTTGTTTGAGCATGAAACAGAAGTTGCTCTTCATGTGTTAAATCCACTGTGATTTTTGCACACCTTGTGATGGGGCTTTTAAGCCCGTTGTTCCTCCGAGCTCATATTCCACATCAATTTATAACCCAACCACCCACCCTCCGCTAACTTTTCCTCTGTTCAGCTGCTGGGTGGATGCGATTTTCTTGCACTCACGTTTCAGGCACGTCTTTCAGGAGACCGCTGCGCATATGACAACGGTAAAGCAATCATAAATGCATCAGCAAATGGCATGGGACAAAAACAATGGTGCAAATAAGGCATAATAAGTAATAGTCTTTCACACAAGGTGTCATATTTCCATTTTCTTTGACACTCGCATACTACAAGGAATTACTGGCATTTGCTTTCGTACCTTTGTTTTGGAGATACAGACAGCTGCAATGTGGAGAGTCCCCTAACTAATGACAGACTTATAGCTGTTCAACTGACAAAAGTGTTGTTATTTGGGTTTTATCTAAGTCATTGTTTCAAAAACATGCTGCCTGGCCAGATAAGAAATTCCCTCTGGTAGAACCCTGAACACTCAGCAAAGACAGGCCTATTCAAAAAAAAAAAGAAAAAAAAAAAGTCACTGACTGTGAATAATAAAATAGGATAGCTAGTCATTTCCCAGAGAGTATGAGGCATCTTCTTGGCTCATATCAATGAAAACTGCGGTCATTTAATATTGTCAGCTTGACATCTCTGAACAGCAATCAGACAAATGTATGATACATAATTGAAACAGATTGGACATGTATTTTTTATTGTGTTCTATTGATAGCACGTTGCGCAATTAATGCATAGGCCCATATCTTAAAATATCTTAAAAATGTCATTTGCACTCATTTATTCTTAATTTCTTAGCCTGCTTTGTCATCACCTTCTTCAAGGTCATGAGGGGGCAGAGCAAGCTTATCTCCACATACACTGCACAGAGAGCAGGGCTAGCAGCTCATTAGAGGTTATCTACGTGGATGGATCTATAATTGCATCACTGTATGTAAGGATACAAGGCTTTATTGATCTCCATGGGAAAATTTCTTTGTTGGCTGTAGTAATGAATGTAGTAGTTGAAGGTGAGACCCCACCATCAGCTACAGAGGCTCTTCCTCAGAGAAGAGGAAGAGCCTCTGGAACATGTTTAAATAACTTTCTTTAAGCCCTCCTGGAAACACGTTTTAAATTCAGATTTTTTTGCCTATTCTGAGCCTCGTTTGAGCATTTTTTTTAAAACATCATAACATGTGAGCACAACCTTGCTTGTTTGCTTGTACAGCAGGATTGCATGGATCATGTCTGAAGGGTCCATTTGCAAAGACGTCAATAATTTTAATGCATCAACTAAAAATAACTATATTGACATCTTAGTAGTAATAATGTATAACAAATCATCTTGCAAAGACGAATCTGGCCACCGGTGACATTTATTATACTTATATTATTCAGTTATTGGCGCTCAAATATTCTTCACTTCGAAAAAAATGATGCCCCCGTGCACCTGCACAATACTTATTTTACACTTAGACCACACTCTTTGCTGCTCCCTGTCGAATTAAACCCTGCTTATTTCTCAGTAGACACTTAAAAGTCGCGACCATATGTTATGTTTTATTATTAAAATAGTGACTGTCCCACTTTTTTACGTCTTTCTAGCGCACTAGATTACACGGCGGAAGAATAACAAACGGTTTTAATTAATAAGAACAAAAAAATAATGTCTGCATGTCGCTTTTGCTTTTGCAAGCCTTACCTTTAAGTGGTAAAACAATTTGTAAACAGTATTAATTAAAAATAACATTTCTCATGCTATGTGTCCACTGGCGTAGAAGAGCAATAAGCCACTTTCACCTCTAGTGGCTTATTGCTTAATTAAATGACAAATCGGAGGATTGGTTTGCAGATTGCCTGAATTGACGTCAATTGGATTGGTTAGGTGACAGAGCCAGGCTCCGCCCCCTGTGGGCCAAGGTAGAGCATGCTGAGAGAGGGAGGAGGGAGCAGGGGGCTGAGCTGATCCCACGTGTGACGCTTTCATTCCCGGCTCAGTAATATTCTCATAGCGGGGCTTTGCATATCTCCTGCCGTATCTGTGCGTGTCTGTCACTGTTACTGTAGTCCCAGCCTATAGTTTGGAATAGATATGGAAGGAGACGGGAGTCAAGCCACATCCGGAAGCCTAAATGATTCACAACATGACCCGGGGTAAGGATATATTTCTAAATTTAATCCTTAGGTACGATTTTTTTTCATGTTACAACATCTTGGAGAGGACTTCGACTGCCGTGCTGGATTCGTCCCCCCTCCCGCACCCCCCTCCCAACAGTACGCACTTAAACCGGGCACGGGTCTGTTTCCAGATGCAGTTTTAAAAGACCTCCGCTCCGTAGCAAAGAGTGGCCTGCCCCTTTTATGTAGCCAGAGTGTAATTACTAAGCGCGAATGTGTTTTCATAGTCTTCCTTTATCCTTTAAGGTCGCTTTTAGAAGTAGTTAGTCGTCAAAATGGCCGAACTGACATCTGGACTCACTTCTGTTGTGTTTTCCCCTTACAGTAAAATGTTTATCGGTGGCCTCAGCTGGCAAACCTCACCAGGTGAGACTGTTATTCTCTTTTACACCGTAACCAGCATTTCTTGTTGTTTTTTTTCTTTTTCCCCCCTCTGTCGCTGTGACTGAGTGCTCGCTGTAGCTGCTGGCGGCGGTGTATGTGCGAATGTGCACTGTGCAGTAGTGTACTGTATGGGATATCTCAGTAGTGTGTGCGCACGATGTTATTTTTGATCTCCGTCCATCTGAAGTCCTCTATTCGACCCCTATGCGCATCGCGGGGTATTTTTGAAATACAGTGACAACAGCATGTCCATATGTTTCTGTCAAAATGACCCGACATATTTTTTTCTTCTTCTCTCTATTCACAGACAGCCTTAGAGACTATTTTAGTAAATTCGGAGAAATAAGAGAATGTATGGTGATGAGAGACCCCACGACAAAACGTTCAAGGTAAATACAGGGCTTTTCTTACTTTTCCCTTTCCAGTGCACATAGCGATATCGCTTTACTTTGACCGTGCTCAGTGTTTAATCCAGCGTGTATGTGTGTTTTGTGTGCCCGCGCGCCCATGTGTTCGTGTTCTCGCGCGCGTATGTCTGTGTGTGTACGTGTGTGTGTGTCCCCGTGCGCGCGCGCCTGCGTGTGGTTTCACAGCAAGCCAGATAAGCTTAAATGCTCACTGCTGTAAAGCTGCGGCCGAATGCAATTTGACATTGACTTTGTGACTGCACCACAGTTTTTTTTTTTTTTTGCTGTGTGTGTCTAGTCGTCTCATATTGTAACGTAGCAAATAATGATGAGCACTGTCCTCAGTTTTGTTTTTGTTTTTTGTGTTTTTGCTTTTCCCAAAATCTGCCACAGGACTGGCCGTAATCTGGATTAGAAATGTATATTTGCAGAGAAATGTTGTTGTGGCTCATAGGGATTGTTGTTCACACTGTTAATGCAGGTTTATTATTTGCAAGTTGCATGTTAAATTTATATTTGCAAGGGGTGGGGGTGTCATTTTTTAATATGTATGCAATGTTAAATTATTATTAACACGGCTGTTCTTGTCCTCTCTGTGTCTTTGTTTTGCAGAGGATTTGGGTTTGTTACATTTACAGATGCTGCCAGTGTAGATAAAGTCTTAGCTCAACAACACCACGAATTAGACTCAAAGACGGTGAGTTGATTTCATTTGTTCTTACACCAGAGTTCATTTCACGTTTTGTGTTTACGCTGCTCTGCCAACTGAGACTTTTTACTGCCTAAGTAGGGCCTTGTGGGTGGTGCGGTAGGCGAAGGGGGGGGGACACTTCTTAGGTTGACAGGCTGTGTCGATCAAGGTCACGCACAGTGGCTAAATGTGTGCTGGTCTCTTCCACAGAGAGCCTGGCAATAAAATAAAACACAACTCTGGGGTGAATATTACATGTGTTCACTTTTACTTCTCTGGCTGAATGGGGCCAGACACGCCCCCTTCTTTGCTGCAGCCACATGTGGCAGTGTGCCTATATCTCATGTGGACACACAAGGGCGTGCTGTCTCAGGACTGCTGCCTTGCTGCTGTTTGATCCAGCAGATATTGTATCATATCGTGCCCGATTAACAGATACTTTGAGTCTGAAAGGTTTGAGCCCTATATTAGAGATTAAACAAATTAAATATAAATTAATACAATTTTAAGCTGCCAGTATATTCAAACTAATTACTGTAATGTATGATAATCAGAATACATAAATGCATTAGTGAGGTAACAATCAGTCAGGAGTATCGTGTCAAATACTTTAAGAGTGCATGTGTAGTTTTTAAAGAGTTGTCTGATTTACTTAAGTAAGGTCATTAATCCAGTGCACATATACATACACTCATGCACTTAGGTTTAATGGCTGCCAAGCATTCTGAAATTTGTTGAAATTCGTCACCAGAGGAATAATTAAAGATTATACGATGCGCTGGATTAGATATGGTTCAGCTGCAATTATATTTTATCGAATCCAGATATGCCAGCAATAGTTACAGTAATGGAATGGTGCATATCGAGGAAATGTACTGTGCGCGCTCCCTCGGCTGAAGCCAACTTTACACTGGGAGGAAATATTTTTTTAAGGATTTTGGAAGATAAATAGATTATACTTCAGGTAGCAGTGTATAATAATGTGCAATCTACAAGTCTGCGTAGGATAAGGCAAGTAATGTAAATGTAAGAATTCACTGCTCATTCCTGAGCTTGAGTGTGATTGGCACAGAGCTGAGAAACCTGCTGTTTGTTGGGTGGCAGACCTTACTTTATATTCCTTCCAATTTTTTCTAAGCTGCGAGGTTTGTAATAATGTGGCTGCTCATATTATTGCTATTATTATTATTATTATTTTGAATATTCTTTTTATAATCATTATTATTGTCATTATTTTTGGGGAGCGTTTTTGGACAGTTTTCAGCTCATCGGTGGAGGTTTCATTCTTCAGAAGGGTTTATGGGGGGGGGGGTCGTTTTTCTGCTAGTCTAAAAATAAGCAATTTGCCTTCATTAAAAAAGGCACATAACACACACTTGTACTTAAAATTTTTTAGTGCGTGTGATTTTTTTTTTTCTTCAGCCTATTAGATATTTTGTGTTATGCTTTTTTTTTTTTTAAAGTTTCCGGTAATCTCTCATTCACCTCGTGCTTAGTGTTTATATGTTATGTCTTCACTGCTATCAGCTCTGTTACTGTGTTATGCAAATGAGGGAGACAAGGACACTCGGTGGGGTTATGTTGTGACGTAGCAACTATAGAGCAAGGGCAAGGTTTTTTAGCATTAAAATGACCGTTAAGTCAGGCCGATGACATTGCAAAACTTGCAGAACCTCTTCAGAGGGGAATACTTAGAAGCACTTTACGGGGGCTGCTTGAAGGGTTGGAGATATAAACATACTTTGATGCAGAATCTAGAGCAGTTTGATAACTTCAAGTCTGACATTTTGAATGAGCAGCTTTGTGACAGCTTGACAGCATATATATTTACAGCAAAGGTCATGGGGGGTATGAATAAGGGAGGAGAGCACGTAAATATATATGCTTACACCTGAGAGTTGGCCTGTGCTGCAGCAGTCTTATTACTGATGTCTGATAAATAGAGCAGTTGTTGCTTTAATTGCCTTGCCCAAAGGCACTTTGAGAGCAGTGCCAGCAGGAAACAGTTTAATTTCTTGTGTATTTTTAATACCGCTAACATATGTTACAATATTCATGGGATTACATTAATGACCTGTTAAAATTGCAGTCTCAAACCACTTGTGTTACAGCTGATTTCTTGATTGCAAAAAAGCTCCTTTTTTTGCCCACAAGAAAAATCGGTTGGTTCTTTTTTTTTTTCTTTTCTTTTTTTTTTTAGATTGTAATATTTAGACTATTTGTAGGCAGAATTTAATCCCATTATTAAAACAATGTGGGACCTCTTATGTATAATAATTGAGTTAAATAGTATTTTCTCTTGCTCTGCTAAAGTATAATAACTGTCGTGCAGCAACACTAAATCTTGTTATCTGTTGCATGTCTGTATAGCAAGTTATGGATACACTTTGTTCTTTGGCTACAGATATGCACATAAACAGTGGTATTATGTCACACGTATTGTAGGCTTTAGATCACATTTGGCACACTTATAATTGAGATTTGAAATGCACGAGAACTGAATGGTGACATTTTAAAGTCTGACATTGAATCATCATTAAGCCTGAATAGTGGCCTGTGTGAAATCATTATGCTTTGGAAGTGAATTATTTTAGTAATTTTGGTGATGTTTTTTTCCCCCTTGATTGTTAGATAGCATACAGTAGACAGCTGACAGGAAATGAGGCGATAGACCTGGCCAGACTCGATCAGGCAGTTTTGTGATTGCATGGTCGATGTCTTAACTCTTAATCCGCCGGGCTGTAAGAGCATAAGATAATCATTTAGGGACCCCGACTACATTAAAAAAAAAAAAAGCCAGTTTTGTTTTGCATACTCGCCTCTTGTTGCTGGTGGCGTTGTAGTTTTTCATCGCACCCATAAATCTGAAAATATGGATGATACTGAAAATCCTGTAATAATGGAGGTAATCAATAGCTTTAGTAAAATAAAGTGTAGCAGATTGTTGTTTTGTTTGTGTTTTCTTGCTGGACATTTTTATCACTGGCTGAGTGTTTGACGGCATAATTGACAAACCAACGATTCTGCTGACTCAAATGCATGCAGACATTTATATTTCCCAGCTGCTAACGTGCTGTTGTTTACCCGTCAGTGTGCAGTAGAAGATTACAAACCTAAGGCGGCTGTCTGTATCGTCTTTCTCACCATTAGTCACTGCGCTGTATCTGCGGTGCTGTTGTATATCTTAACATTCACACTATCAAGATCGCATTGCATTAGGATCTATCATATCTCTGAGAAAGTTGCTCAGTGGCAATGGGGGAAAAATGAACCAGTCCAGCAAATATGGATGGTCTTGATGTGTTTGCAGATGTTTGGTTGATACAGGTCTCCCTCGTTTGCAGTGCCTGAACGAATCCTTAGTGGTTTGTCTGTCCTCGGTAACCTTGGAAAAAAGTCAGAATGGCTGAAGGTGCAATGACAGGAAGTTAGGTCGTATTAGCTGTGTAGTGAAAGTGTAAAGCCAAAATCATATGGATGTTTTTAGCTCTGTTATTTTAAATCTAATATTTTTTCAGTATTACATCAGTGTCACAAACACAAACGCAGATGGTATTTTATTTAGTCTGATGTACTTTTAGATCAACTGCAAACCCCACTTTGATTTAAACATAAAATTTCCCTAGTGTTGAGATCAGGAGTGCTATAGAATCAGTTTTACTCCCAACTTAAAGAAGACAGGCACACCAACGCTGGTTTCATATGCTTCTTTATTTGGTATTAATGTTTTCTTTTGACTGTGTGCTCTACTTTTTGTCCGGTTATGAAAACACTCTAGCCTAGAATGAATGTGAATGAGACATATGGGGAAGCAAAGCCTGGGGGCTTCAAAACACACATGCTGGTAATTCAGAACATATTTACCATTTTTCATGATGCTTTGTTCAGTTTATAAATGTACAACTCAGAGCATCTGTTGCTGAAGATGTTTCAAGTCAGGCCTGTATGAAGAAGGACATCATCAATTTTTATCTCAGACATAACAGTAGATTGATTTGAGCGATATAAATCTTTTATTGTTATGTGAAGTTGTTACAAAGGCATATATGGGTTTATTTTTTTGTAATGTAAGATTTGATGGTGTGATACCATGTTTGGGGTTTCTGAGCTTAATTCACTTCAACCAGTAAAACCCAATGATATATGTAGTCACCCCCCCACCCCCGGAATCTATTTTTAATTTTTTTTGTCTTGGGTAAATCCAGCCTTTATAAAGTCACCCTTAGGTCAACCTATGCTTGAGGTTTAGGAGAAGCCAAAAAAAAAAAAAACAGCCCAAGAGCAAATGAGGAGAAAGGACAGGGAAGAGCAGCTGTTCCAGACAAATCTGAGCTTCATTCATCAGATAGGGTTAGGAAGTAAAGTCAAATCAGTGAGCTAAACTGACTCGCTCTTGTTTAAGTATAGCAGGTGCTCCATCTTCCGCGGTTAATTATGGCTGAAGGCGTTATTAGTTCTTTCTGTATCTGTTTCTGTCTCCTGTCCGCTCCTACGGGTCATCAGAGGTTTGTCAAAGCGGTAGTGTTATTTTTATGCTACTACCAGCAAACGTGGCTAATGTTCGTAACGCTGTTGCATATTTCTAAGAGGTAAAAAAAATATATTAAAAAAAATATATATATAGCCAATTTGCTTGTTGAGCATGACGGTAAAATTCTCATTACTGATTTGAGGATCATAACAAACTGCCTTTTCGTGGTGTTATTCCACGGCGAAAGTCAGCAGAGATTGACAGCACAGATATGAAACATTTATGTTGTAATTTCTTGTCTATTCTATTGCTATCACACACGCACACCTGTGGACCTGCTCACACACTTATTGAGAGAAGCTGCAAGCTTTGATAAGGCTTTTCCTTTTAGCTTAAACACCACATCATCATGCTAGCGTAGATATGTCTTAAGAGAGAGGAAGAGAGTTTACCCAGGAGCTGCATTAATATATGAAATCCTTTTGTAAGATGTGAACTTAAGATATGTGCTGTTTCTCTGCCCTGATCTCCCACAGTCGCATGCAGAAGCAGCCCTCGGAGACCCTTAAGTAAACGGCTGCGGAAGATAAAAAGATGATGGGGCAGGGTTGGTGGGGGGGATTCCTTCTGGTCTGTTCTCATTTATTACATTGACGTATCTGCTTGTATGATGTCTTGAGGAAATCCACTTTTGCTCTTCGTGAGATCATGTTGCATCATATTACAAAGGTGTATCTAAACGTAATTTGAAGAAAGGGTCCTGTGAGGGTGATGCCAGGTCTCTAAGGTGAGCACATACTCAAAAGATGTTTCACTGGAGATTACTGCTACGTGAGGTACGTCACCAGTAGTGCATCTTTAGCACGACACTGTAGCCTCTTGGTTCTCGTGAACTCGAGTGTGCACACTGGTTAGATGGTTACGATTCATCTGAGACACCCACATTGCTAAAGGCACATATACTCTGATTGCAGGGTCCATGGAAAATGACATCACATTAGTGCTTGCCAGTCAATTGTACATAACAGGTACTGCTGCTGTAATTGAATCAGTGCAAAAAAAAAAAAGTACCTCATACTGTGCATCCTACATACAGCTAAAGATAACAGTTGTTGGCAATAATAAAAGCCCGGAACAAAAAAATACATTGTCTTTGTCTCAGAAAGAATTGAATGATATTTGACACGTATGTACATTTGTTCTGGTTCGATATAAAAAAAAAAGAAATTTGGATTTTGCTAAATAGGTGAGCACATTATTGTTGTTTTTCACGGTTGCATTTTGATTACAGTTTACATTTGAACACATTACACCTTCAGTTACAGTCATGTTTTCAATTACAATACAATATTGTAGTCATATCTCCCGGACCATTCGACTGTGTTTAAAGCAGATTGTTCGTTCAGCTCCAAGTCAGATTGCTTGTGATTTTTCCATAGTAAAGAAATTACTCAGAGGGGGGTTAATGAAGTGTTGTTTTTTTTTTGTTGTTGTTGTTCTGTTGCTACTGTATGATAGCCAAATAGCTAGAGCTGAGTCAGAGCTCTGGCCCTCTACCCAACAGCGACACTCTTTGCATACCCTCGACGTATTTTATCTACCATCTCATGATTTGTTCCCAGAATTCCTTTCAAGAATCAAAAGAATGTACGAATATTTTTGTTGCATCCAGCTGTCGTAAAATTAAGATGAAAGCAATGACACAGTAAGAGAGATTTGTCTACAAATCATAAAAGAAAGTCATTTCTCAAACAAGAACATAGGCAAAAACAAACTAATAAATAGCTATTATTCATTTATCTTTTTACTGCTTAAAAAACATGCAAGTTTAGAACAGACTAGAGTCAAATTACTGAAACAGGTGCACTTCTTACATTAAGTTCACTCAACCCAAGGCTGATGGTATGCGTGTTACATAAGAAAAAAATATGTTTCAGGAAGGAAGTATCAGGTGAAACTGAGACACTATAATCTCTGATACAGCTGCATTCAGTGCAAAGGGTAACTCCTGCCCAATAGGTATGAAGATGCTTCCTACATGAAAACCTAAAGCTTTAATATGTAAAGCAAAGGGAAACAATTGCCTTGTCTCCTCTTCTTGTGGTTCTAAATTTCTCAGAGGAGTTATTTGTCATAATTTGTGACCTAAAAAGGTACTGCTACATTTCACAGAAGGATTTGTTAATAAGGCCTCATTGCCCAATTTGGTTGCGTTGCTCTGAGTGAGATTTAAGCAATATGCAGTAACGTTTTTCTCTGCATGTAATCATTTAAATATATATATAATTTTAAACAGACTACATGAGATTTTTCCATGCTGTGTTAAAGTGTTCTCATGCGCACGTTCAAGACCAAATGCTTCATAGTGAATAGAAATTCTCAGCAGGACAGAAAAACAATTAGTTTATGTGGTGTGGTAAAATGAGGTTTGATATATTTTGCATAAGCTTAAAAAGTAAGATACATTACCAAGTGTAGGACTTTGGTATTCAGAGCATAATGTGTTGTCTTTGCTAAAATAGGGTGCACAAAATAATTGAGTTTGAATTGGTTATGCCTGGGGCTAAGTGCTAAGACAAATCTTTAAATGAAATTCATTACAAGCAGAGTTACCGTGCCCAGGTGTTATTGAATTCATTTCTCATTTTGACCCGATTTAGAAAGATAACAGTAATAAGTGAGACTGACAGAGAAGATGACAGTGACATTGCACATCATGGTTTTCCTTCAAACAGATTAAAATGTAGTCAGTTTCAATGGCTTAATTGATCCGTGCAGATGGTGAATTTTCATCTCGTGTTTTCTTTCCATTGTTTTCCTCAGCGTGATGAGATATCGTTTTCTTAAATAAATCCATCTGTGCCGAGAGAGTAGGAATGCATAGAATTGATATAGTAATTGTAAATATGTCAGTGTGACACGTAGCACAATATGGAACAACATGAAGAGTTTCATGATTTTCTTTTTCTTTCTTTCTTTTTCCCCCCCTCAAATTCAAATTTGCATCCAGGCGATGAGAGTTTAGGATGACATTGCTGTTTCAGACAGTTCCTCTTCACTGTAAGTGCAAGGTTGATGAGACCCCCCCCACCACATACCTTTATACCAGAGAAATTAATGAGGAAGATGTAGCTAATGAGATAACAAGCACAAGATGGAGAAACAGGCTGATCTGACGCATCCTCCCAGTTATTTGGCAATATCTGGAGGCGTCACCGGCCCCAGACTCTCATTTTCTTCCTGTCATATTCAATCAGCAATTCCTGCCTAAAATAAAAGCGGGCCTCTGCTGCGACCACGACCAGCGGAACATTGGTGTGGCTGGTCTCCACGCCAACTTTATTTTAACACTGGGGGTTCTTTCTTTGTTTTTGCTATACAGCATCGACAGCTAATTTGGGAGCACCAGTATTTAGGCCTAAAAAACAAAAATGGTAATTTACAGCAATTAATATGTGGTTTCCTATGGTACATTGCTCAGTGCACTGAGTGTTGTGCCTAGAATGTGTCATTGAGCTCCATCAATTGTAGATAATTTGCCACAGTGAGTAATGAGGCCGGTGATATTGGCCAGCTCTCTTTAAATGCTTTGGTCTGCCTAGTGACAATCATGACGGGAAACAAAGCCAGTTGCTGGACTAAACTGTGCACCTGTATCATTTATAAGGAACCAGGCTAGCTGATAGGCCAACAGTAAATTTAAACGATAAGCTGTTTTGCAGTAGGGATTAATATACTGAGTAATCAGGTTCTTTTACTGCAGTTTACAAATGAACTGGTCACTGAGATTATACATCTACGATTTAACCTTATTTAAAAAATATATCAATGTGTTCTTTGCCAGTAGTTTAGCTGAACAACATCGATTCTATGGCTATGATTCTTTCATAGCAGGCACTTCCCTATACATTGTTTTCAACTTTCGGTAGTAGCTCCTTAACGTAGACGGAGATTAAAGCTGCCACGAAGCTGCTGTGATATAAACATGACAAAGACAAAGACCTCAGGATCTCTGGAGGACAAAGAAGGGACGGCGTCCTTCATTTTCAGTGTGTGGCAGTTTTTCATAGCAGGGGGAAACCGTGGCACACTGTTCTCTTACCAGTCTCTGTAGTCTGTCAGCTACCCAGAGCCATGACCTAGTCTGCCCTTTAGTGAAACGTCACCCTATCCTTAACCCGACTGTGTCAAAGATTAGGCACAGTAATGTAGCGGTACCACCGTTTTACAGAAATGGCTTCGTTCTGTGTTATTTTTACTGTTTTGCTGTTCTATTCATATTGACTTTAATTTGTAATTGTGATAACTTTGTCAGCTCTTAAAGGCGACTCTAGGTTTGAAGAGTACATGTTAATTATGAAGCTTCTGTAAATCTTAAAAATGATGAATTATTATCATTGTTCACAAGTTCTCAGCCATTGATGAGATATTCAAGCAATTTGAAAAAGAAAGGTTTGTTCTTCCTCTTGATTTACGCATTCATAGATCAAAATATTCTCTGGGGGTTCCTGTTTAAAAATAAATAAATAAATAATCCAACATCATAGCCATATAATAAATACCCATTATAGTACAACTGCCACTGAAGTACTAGTAATTACATTCTCAATGAGTCTGAAGGAGTCAAAATGCGGCAGTGTGGCGGTTTCACCCTGGGGTCCTTTGTGGACACCTGTTCGGTGCTTTTCACCCCGAAGATATACCAGCCTATCCTTTAACAACAATTTTGCTATTCTTTTCTCATTTCAGATTGATCCTAAGGTTGCCTTTCCCCGTCGCGCCCAGCCTAAGGTAAGAATAAATTGGTCACTATCCCCGCTCAAAGAAAATGATTATGTCTCATGTCACTAGCTTACCTAATTTTGTGTGCTCACACAGCAGATACGAAGAGATAAAAAAAAAATAGTCTGCACCCATTGTTCTCACCTTGTCTGCGCTGTTTCACCAAAGCAATTAAAGTTGAAAACATGAGACTTAAAGGAAATTTTCAGCATGATTAAGGTTATGTTATTTTCTGTGTTACCCCACTGTTTTCTATCCATATAATATTTTTCCATTGTTTTTATCCTGATTTGCTTATTTCATCCCTCATCACAGCTGTTTGCAGTGGCAAATGTTTTGAAATGAACTCTGTCTTATTATGACAATCCTGTAGCAGAGGTTTCCGATTTTAGTCTGCAGCAGTATTAAATCAAGCTTTATTGTCTGTTTAAAGCATCAGAGTCTAAGTGGTGAAACCATCTTGCTTTGGCAACTTGCCTCTTGACTTGACAGGGTCATGACTGACAGGAGACGGGCTCTAATATATCTGCAGAGAATGCAGGCTATTGGTTGAAACGTTTACATTTGGGTGAAAGGAGGAAATCTGATTATTTGAAAGTGGAATCAAGACCTTCCTTTCATGTGGTTTTGAAGGTGCACATTATGCAGAACGGTGAATTATATTTTGGAGTGAACAGGCCTGTATTACCCTGACTGAATTTGCGAGAGATGATTGGTGACTTTTCAGTGACAGTGATGAATTGCATTTACTGGTTGAATTCGAAGTCTGTTGAGTTGGTCTGGAGTTGAATGGGATTGAATATCACAAGTGATTAAGAAATATCTTTGTTGTGTTGCATGCATGTAGAATTTCTCACAATTAGCACTGAAACAATGGGTGATTTTAAAAAATAAGCCCAACTCCAATCACGCAGGAACTGTGGTACAGGCTCTTCATGATGCGCATTATCTTTTGTCTTCTTGATTACTGTTCTTGAGCAGTTCTATTGACAATTAAAAATTCAGCATGTGCAGATGGTGTTGTGGCATACAGTCAAAGGCTTTGTTGACATGCCCTCTCACACCATCCCCCAGCTTTTACTGTGGAGGCTATAGCACAGCACACTGTAGCGCTATTCAGCATCGCTATCAGGGCTTTTTCCACCTAAACCAGGTGGAAATCGATAATAGATTTTCTCCTTTCCACCGGATCAGAGAGAGGCATTGTTAAAGACTTGGTTAGGTTTCAAATAAGGAATTGGCAGTGCAGACTTTCAAAGCCACAGCACATGGTGACTTAAGGATATCGGCATATGGCTGAAAAACTACCAGTGTTTCTCTGTTTTCTTGTGTGGCAAGTATATCACTTTAACTTCGTCTGCTGTAAGCCCTGCTCATAAATGTCCAAGGTGCAGTAAAACAGCTCAGATGTTTGATGATGCTTCCAGTTTTTAAGTGAACCAGAAACTCCACTGCTGTCGTGGTTATTGCTGATCTTTTTTTAAAAGAGCATTATACCACTTTTTTTTTGCCATGACTCACACAGAAATACAATATTTTGAGCAGTTCTACAGGTCTTAAACATATTTGTCATTCTACCTTGCGTGATTCATAACTCAGTGAAGTAATGACACAATAACAGAATTTGTGGCACTACACAAACCTTGTACCAGTGATTTATAAAATGGCTATAGGGCAAGCTTGTTAGAGGAGAGAAATGGCTGTATTGAATGTGGATTATAAAGGATCTTAAAGCAATGGGATTAAGCCAGATAGATTAACATTGCATGGGTTTGTACTTTAAAAGACCTTTAAAAGAAGTCTAATTTAGAACTTCCCATTTAGAAAGTTCTCTCTGTCTCTCTGTGGCGGATACTTTCTTTTGTCCCTTTTCCCCAACTCCGCTGTGTGCCTGCCTGGAAATAGGGATTTGTTTAAGGAGGCTCGTCTTGGCAGTTGCCTCGGCGGCACGAGCTTCGGGGAGCAAATCGTGACGAGACCAATCAGTGTTAATTTTCTCACGGCTAGCAATGACCTCACAGGTGAACCCTGCCAATGACCTCGTGCTGCCGAACGCTGCGGCATAGTAACTCTATACAGTATGTACATCACGTAGAGTAATGCTGAAAACAGGCAGGAGGTGAAGGTGAACACGGAGGACATTTCACTGTAAACAACTGAAGGTGTTAGCACTGGGATGACAGGATCACAGGAAAAACATCTTGTATCAGCAGGCATAACTGACACTGACCCAAACACGGACAGTTCCAAGTGTCAAGAGACAGTGAGAAAAGCGACAGACGATTATTGGGGTACCTGAAAGTGGACACGCCCTTATTTTGATTCATATCTGACGTAGCATGTACGACAAATCAGTTTGCCTTCATTTGTCCCGTTTAAGAACAAATGTGAAACCTTTGTGTTTCTAATGTCAGCATTGTATGAAATGTAAGTTGCTGTCATAATAAGACAGTTGACTTTTTTGTTTTTGTTTGTACGAGTCAGTTTTTTGCAGATATGACGAGTAAGTCACAGAGCACTGTTTCCCTCTGATTTCCACCCAGCGTTTGAGAATCATGTATATGTATGATTTGAGTAATCTTAGGGGGGTTTTGTGACTATCTGCACCAGAATATTGGTAAAGGGCACAGAGGGGAGATAACCACAGGTCCTGTCAATCAAAGAAAACAGGCTAAAGAAATGCAAACTGGCACCCACATTACAAATGAATAATGTCACCCAACTAAAGCTTATCTCATGACTTAAAAAGAACATTTTGTATTATAAATAGAAGCTGTGCTTACAAGTCATGTCAAAGGTATCAATATAGACCGGTCCACAAATATTCAGGGATTAGGTTGCATCTGAGGATGATTGACAGATGAGAATGAAAGGATTAAACAATGATGATGTGATGCAAAGTGCTTTATGCACATTCATTTATGCCTCGTCTCCTCTTAGCCTGGCTGGGGATAGCCGTGGCTTTGTTAGATAGTCTGCTAAAAGTAGCCTTAGAATGCCACGATTTCTCTGCAAATTCTCAACGTGTAGTTTCCCTTTTTATGTATACTTTATTGATCCCCTTGGGGAAATTCCTCTCTGCATTTAACCCATTCAATCAGTGAAGCAGTGGGCAGCAATTGGGCGCCCGGGGAGCAGTGTGTAGGGACAGTACCTTGCTCAGGGGTACCGCAGGGTAGCCGTTCGGTGGGTTTGAACCACCGACCTTCCGATCATGGGGCCAACACTCTACCTAGTGAGCTATCCCTGCCCCCTTTTGACAGAAATGATTTTATTATCACCTTTACGTACTTTAGATGCATTGCAATGAGGTTACTTTTGAACAAGGGATGCGAATACCAAATGTATTCATCACCACTTACTATAGTTTTCTGTAAAACTGTAAAAATATTTGCCTACATTTCCATCTTGAAATTAGTTAGCAGATGTGATAAGTGTAAGAAACGGAGGTTTTCTTTTTTTGTGGAGAAACATCCTGCTCTAATTGATAACAACAATAATGGGAAGGTAAAATGGGACTGATTAATAACCTTTTGGGTTTAATCAGACAGATAGTATTACATAATCGTCTCGTTATCAGTGTAGATGCTTGATAGATTTTTAAAGTCTATTGCAAACCCCTAAAGTTTTAAATCTGCCGTTCAGATTTGCTATTTTTCCCCAACTAAATTTCATGCTTGTTTAGAAATTGAAAATTCTCTGAAAAATAAAGAGAAACTATCAACAACCCACCCACCTTTTCAGTACTGCCACTGCATATAGAAGGCAGTAAAGAAGACAGAGATGAGTTGATGTTGTTCCATGCGATCTTCTCGTTTGATATTTTGCAGTAACGCTCAAACTGAAACGTGTAAACGAGGCCCGCTCCGGGTTTCCTGGAGAAATCAAAGAGACGGCTTCTGCCGACATTGCTCGAGATTTACCACTCAACTGTTGGCGTCATTACCGCTGCTGCCGGTGCTTTTGTTTCCCACAGTGGAGTCACACACAACCATGGCATGTCCCAGCATGATTTTAATTGCCAGTGGGACTGTGGCCACTTCAGTGGGAGATGAGTTTTGATGGCTTGTTATGGAAATGAAAGGAAAGAGCAACATCCATTTACAGAGCAATGGGCGTAACCCTTCCCTTGTACCTCATAAAGGGATTTGCCATGTAAGCCATTGAGAACAGGTAGTCGGTGTGTCTCTGGGAGTCTATAGGATGTTGAATCTTTGTGCATGAAAAAAGAAATGTGTACTGCAAAAAAAGCAACTGTGACAATACTTTGAGAGATGCTTGTTTTGCTTGCCGCTGCAGTTTTCTTTACTGAAACTCAAGATTTGCAAACCGCTTGCTTTATCAGCACGCAAGATAGGTAACTGTGGTAGTAAACTGGTTGAGATCATTTAGGGGCATCACACAGATCCACCATTAAACCACTGTCCTGAATTTTACTTTAGATTGTGGCAGCTGTGACTGTGGCTTCCCTGTTGACGGCCCTCTGTTAGTGCTGGCCTGTCTCTGACAGCTGGAGTTTCCCCCCTTTCTCTTTGCCTCCTTCTTTGTCTCCCTGTCTGTCTTTTCACGTCACGTTCCCTTTTTTCCTTTGCCTCTTTTCTTTCCTCTTTCTTTCTTTTTTTCTTCTGTGAATGGTAAATTGACCAGTGCACCAACCTTCTCCACTTGTCTGCGTTCCACACATCTCTCTTAGGGACTGTTTGCGCTCTGTGTGGCTGCTTGCAGAAGAAAAAACCTCCCAGGTGTGTTGAGGTTCTAGAAATTTCAAGACTCAAGTTTTAATGAAGTCAACTAACAAAGCTGCATTCCCTTCCCCAGGCCATTTGTGCTGTGACCACATGTACACACACTGTATTGGAAACAGGTAGTTTGATATCCACATTTGAAAACAAAACTGTCTCCTTTGCTTGTTTTCTTTTAATATTTTATCTCTCAATCTATCATTCTTCCTCACTGCTACATCCTCCCCTTTCTGTGCCCGTTTCTGTCTTAGTCTTTCAGGATTACAA